TAGCCAATTTCAACGTTTGTAGTAGTCGTATTTATCATCAAAAAAAAATTATCCAGTAAATATCGCTCCGAAACAAGTTTGGCTCATCTCAAGTGCTTCTAGTCAACATGTACCTTTACTACTATCGAAAATTCTTTCACTACAAACCTCTACGAACCCTTTTTAGTCAATTTCAACGTTTGTAGTAGTCATATTTATCATCAAAAAAATTTATCCAGCAAATATCGCTCCGAAACAAGTTTGGCTCATCTCAAGTGCTTCTAGTCAACATGTTCCTTCACTACTATCGAAAATTCTTTCACTACAAACCTCTACGAATCCTATTTAGTCAATTTCAACGGTTGTAGTAGTCGTATTTATCATCAAAAAATTTCATCCAGCAAACATCGCTCCGAAACAAGTTTGGCTCATCTCAAGTGCTTCTAGTCAACATGTTCCTTTACTACTATCGAAAATTATTTCACTACAAACCTCTACGAACCCTTTTTAGTCAATTTCAACGTTTGTAGTAGTCGTATTTATCATCAAAAAAATTTTATCCAGCAAATATCGCTCCGAAACAAGTTTGGCTCATCTCAAGTGCTTCTAGTCAACATGTACCTTTACTACTATCGAAAATTCTTTCACTACAAACCTCTACGAACCCTTTTTAGTCAATTTCAACGTTTGTAGTAGTCGTATTTATCATCAAAAAAATTTTATCCAGCAAATATCGCTCCGAAATAAGTTTGGCTCATCTCAAGTGCTTCTAGTCAACATGTACCTTTACTACTATCGAAAATTATTTCACTACAAACCTCTACGAACCCTTTTTAGTCAATTTCAACGTTTGTAGTAGTCGTATTTATCATCAAAAAAATTTCATCCAGCAAATATCGCTCCGAAACAAGTTTGCCTCATCTCAAGTGCTTCTAGTCAACATGTACCTTTACTACTATCGAAAATTCTTTCACTACAAACCTCTACGAACCCTTTTTAGTCAATTTCAACGTTTGTAGTAGTCGTATTTATCATCAAAAAAATTTCATCCAGCAAACATCGCTCCGAAACAAGTTTGGCTCATCTCAAGTGCTTCTAGTCAACATGTTCCTTCACTACTATCGAAAATTCTTTCACTACAAACCTCTACGAACCCTTTTTAGTCAATTTCAACGTTTGTAGTAGTCGTATTTATCATCAAAAAAATTTTATCCAGCAAATATCGCTCCGAAATAAGTTTGGCTCATCTCAAGTGCTTCTAGTCAACATGTACCTTTACTACTATCGAAAATTCTTTCACTACAAACCTCTACGAACCCTTTTTAGTCAATTTCAACGTTTGTAGTAGTCGTATTTATCATCAAAAAAATTTCATCCAGCAAATATCGCTCCGAAACAAGTTTGGCTCATCTCAAGTGCTTCTAGTCAACATGTACCTTTACTACTATCGAAAATTCTTTCACTACAAACCTCTACGAACCCTTTTTAGTCAATTTCAACGTTTGTAGTAGTCGTATTTATCATCAAAAAAATTTCATCCAGCAAATATCGCTCCGAAACAAGTTTGCCTCATCTCAAGTGCTTCTAGTCAACATGTACCTTTACTACTATCGAAAATTCTTTCACTACAAACCTCTACGAACCCTTTTTAGTCAATTTCAACGTTTGTAGTAGTCGTATTTATCATCAAAAAAATTTCATCCAGCAAACATCGCTCCGAAACAAGTTTGGCTCATCTCAAGTGCTTCTAGTCAACATGTTCCTTCACTACTATCGAAAATTCTTTCACTACAAACCTCTACGAACCCTTTTTAGTCAATTTCAACGTTTGTAGTAGTCGTATTTATCATAAAAAAAATTTTATCCAGCAAATATCGCTCCGAAATAAGTTTGGCTCATCTCAAGTGCTTCTAGTCAACATGTACCTTTACTACTATCGAAAATTCTTTCACTACAAACATCTACGAACCCTTTTTAGTCAATTTCAACGTTTGTAGTAGTCGTATTTATCATCAAAAAAATTTTATCCAGCAAATATCGCTCCGAAATAAGTTCGGCTCATCTCAAATGCTTCTAGTCAACATGTACCTTTACTACTATCGAAAATTCTTTCACTACAAACCTCTACGAACCCTTTTTAGTCAATTTCAACGTTTGTAGTAGTCGTATTTATCATCAAAAAAATTTCATCCAGCAAATATCGCTCCGAAACAAGTTTGGCTCATCTCAAGTGCTTCTAGTCAACATGTACCTTTACTACTATCGAAAATTCTTTCACTACAAACCTCTACGAACCCTTTTTAGCCAATTTCAACGTTTGTAGTAGTCGTATTTATCATCAAAAAAAAATTATCCAGCAAATATCGCTCCGAAACAAGTTTGGCTCATCTTAAGTGCTTCTAGTCAACATGTACCTTTACTACTATCGAAAATTCTTTCACTACAAACCTCTACGAACCCTTTTTAGTCAATTTCAAAGTTTGTAGTAGTCGTATTTATCATCAAAAAAAAAAATTATCCAGCAAATATCGCTCCGAAACAAGTTTGGCTCATCTCAAGTGCTTCTAGTCAACATGTACCTTTACTACTATCGAAAATTCTTTCACTACAAACCTCTACGAACCCTTTTTAGTCAATTTCAACGTTTGTAGTAATCGTATATGCCTTGAAACAGTATTCAGGTCACAAAAATCGTTTTCAAAAAATACTCCGAAACGATTTTTTTTTCTTCTATTTTACTACAAACGAATAAAATTGCACTACAATCTACTACTAACGTTTATCTATGAGAAACAGCCGGAAAAAACAATTTTTTTGATTTTCGGGGGATGACATTTTTTAACTATTTTTTTTTTATTTTTTGGTTTTACTACTAACGAAAATAGCTTCACTACAATCCACTACTAATCGAAATCTTTCGAAAAACCATTAAAAAAACCAATTTTTCCAAAGTCGGGTGCCAGGTTCACACAGGTCACTTGGCTTTTGTATTTCGACGAAACATTACACAAGTCACTAATACATTCCTTGTAGTCTTAATGATGTACTACATAATGTAGATATAAGTCCTGCTTAACTATACGTCAGTTCCATAACCATTCTTCTACTTTTTCAACACAGAAGTTGTACTTCGTTGTCTTTTACGTATGTACACATATAATGTAGCCTTATTAAAAAACCGATGAAAACATAATTTAAATAAGTCGGCTGCAGAAATTTCTTGGACTATGCCTTGTAAAAAAAGTTGCTAACTTGTCTTGACCTGTTCCTGATCAGGTAAAAATGAGTTCAACGCAAAAGGATTTTAAGTCTTTATTCTTTAAACAAAATAACAATAGCTTCTGTTACTCGGAGTTCCTTTTTCTTTTCATTACCTACGGTGTGTTAACAAAAAGTTTAAAATGGTGTAATTAGGTACCCAAATTCGTGTAAAAATTTGCGTATACTTTTGCCTTTAATCTTTTAAAGCTAAATACCATTATCTAGTTGTTTATTTTTTTCAGGTAAATGTCGTTTTGTACTTGGGAACTTTGTACATCTTGGACTGAAATTACTTCTTTTTTGATAGAAGAGCGCAAAGGTAATGAGAGACATATTAACATCAGATACTTATAATGCTCTATAACGTTAATAAAAGAAAAGCAGGACTTCAGAGCTTTAGCTTGTATCTTCTAAAAATTATACGGGGAAAACCAGTCACGATATTGTTTAAGTTTATCAAAAAGTGACAATTTATGACGTTTATAAATTTTAATATTAATTTTATCGCAGATCTTTGTGATTACGACAGAAGTTTATTAATCTGTGTAACACTTATTTACGTTTACCTATTCGTTTCGCAGGTGGGCAAATCTTGGTCGGAACTTCACGGAAGGTATGTACTTGCGTACCTAGATATAATAATGGTTATCACTTCATTGTTGTGATAACGCAAAGTGATAGACTACACATGTTTTGCTTTGTCAATTTATTTTCGGACGCTGGCCTCTTGAGTACTATTTTTGCTTTTAACTTTGATAAGTAACCTATAAAGTAATGTTTTTATTTAAATTTGGTATGATTTTGTCTATACTACATTATCTACGAAGCCGACAGTTCTATGTTTCTAATACTAGACGTTAATGTTAGAAGCGGTAAATACTGAAGTTTTACCTACTTAGGTAACTAGTTACTACGGAGGTGGCCAGCTATGTGTATTCTGGTTTGTTATGACATAAAGCAATATAATCAAACAACGTATCAAGCATTATCGTTTATCATTATCACATTCAGCTGTGAAATAGCGCGTGATTCTCACCTGAGTTCGGTTGTGCTTGTAAGTCTACCGCCGTCAACATTCCATTCTTTTCAAAGATGGTTTTCACATTTGCACAAGTTCCCTCGGGCTCAGCGGCAGAAGCCGCGGCCAATAAACAAGAACCCAACAGTAAATACAGGATTTGGCTCCGCATTCTCAATCCGAAAATCGATTTTTTGTTATGCGACAGTTTATCACAACAACACTCTTTCACAGCCATGTTCGCTAACGAATGTATTTAGTAGTGTGAAACGGGATACACTTTTATAAATGGTTCATAAATTTAAATACAAGTAAAATATTTTTAATTTAAACTTAAATTGTGGTACTACACACGCCATACGCACGACTCGCGACGATTCAACTGCGAACCATGATGGTCGCAGCTCAACTGCACTGGCCGACTGAAGTCAGCCGAAAGCGAACCACGGTAAAGCGGTGGTGGTATTGCCAGTATAAAAATATTAAATATGAATTCTGATAACGATAACGTTTGATAAAAAAAACATCATTAGGCGCTAATTAATTGATCTCTTTATCTTTCCAATTTGTAACGAAACTTTTAAATACATTATTATTTCCTTTTGTAATTAATTAGCAACACAATTTTCTTTTCTGTTCTAGCAATATTTTTCATTTGCTTCTATTGGTCACATAAACGTATACGTTAAGATATGCACCAATAAAAAATGATTATCTTGCAGTGTCTTTTCAGATATTGGCTAAAATTCTTTGGATTGAAGACATAAGTAACGTCAGTCATTTACGTCAAAAGTCAAGACTAGTGTCAATTTGAGCAATCAAATCAAAATAGACGAAATGTTATTCAATCGATGAACACACGTTTGTTTTTATCTTTGTTTAGAAAATAAATTATTATTTATATTTAAGTGAAAGTTGCGTTAGTTATTGTATTAAAGTGTTTAATTTTATATTACCGAGATAAGTAATCGAAATATATTTATTGTTGTTATAAATTTTACATAACCGGTAACCATGAGGGTTTATTTGTTAAAAAGTGTGTCACGAGTGATAGGCGCGAGATTTTATTCAACTCCTAATTATAAGAAAGTTACTCACTGTATTTTCGACATGGATGGTCTTCTCCTTGGTAAGTTAAATATGCGACCTTCTTGCTAATCGTCAATGTTATTGGATCACAAGGTTACATACGCGGTCATACTTTTACATAATAAATTATAACAAATCAACTACACTACAAATGCATTCATTAATATGTAAATATCGTGTTTTATGTCAGATAGTCTACAATAAAATTAGCACTAAGTAAATTATCAATTTAAATTCCTATGATAGCTTGATTGTTGATAAAATTCAAGATATTTTGATTTTCTATATATATTGTTATGATCCAATCCATATGGTAATCTCAAAAATGTAAATTTTACCTACTTCTGTTGCTAATTGTAGGTACCTTTAGAATAAGATAAACTTGATTTCACAATTGTTTCCTAAAACAAGTTTTGTGTTAAAAGTTTATAAAATAACACAAATCGTTCTTATTTAAAAAAATGAGATGTCAACAAAAATTGTATTTAAAGTAACCAACATTACAAAAATATGATGAATAAATATAAATATTTATTGCTAAAATACCTCATACAGTCCCAGTCAATCAGTACTATGCACCATAGTCTTGTTGCTCACCAAATACATAAGAATGAGATCATATACATTGAACAATCTATCTATGACACAATTTGTGAATAAATTATCATTCTTAATAACTTAGAAAATGAAAATTACAAAAATTTACATTAGGTATGCTATTTCAGAAATGAATGTGGTATATGGTTTAGGTTTTTAACTGTAAAGGAATATTCTGTATTGTACCAATTGTAAGAGATACATCGTTTATTGAAAATATAATTTTAACTTCTTATCGGAATGAACTGATAAAAGTTTCACAAGTTACATTTTACAACAGTAGTCACCATGGACACCCGGAACACCAAAGGAGTCATAAGTGCGTTGCCCACCAATCGAGGATAAGGGTTGCGGTTATTTAAGGATTATGATTATATATATTATTTTGGTTAGGGAAGGGGCAGGGATTGGGCCTCTGGTAACCTCTTCTCTCAATCAGGTTTATCATATTACATTCCTCAACAAATAATTGTTCAATTTGATCCAGTATTTCTGAATACGGGTGTCTTCCCACAAATTCCTTAGCCTACTGCACTAGTAAAAAACTTATAGTGCTTCTTCCCCCTTTTACCCATCAGATATTTACTGCTGAATTCAGTCCATCTTATCACTTACAAAAAAGAAAAAGAAAATATTTTAACCCACAGTAAAATGAGGACTAAGGAGGAATTATTTCTTTGTTTTTTGCAGATACGGAACTAGTGTACAAGAAAATGATAACACAACTATGTGCAAACTATGGCCATAAATACACAGATGAGTTGATGATGAAGGTACTTGGCGGTACAGAGCAGCGGCTATCAGAGATCCTATGCAAAGAACTTAAGTTACCAATAACACCCACTGAGTTTAGAGACCAGCTGCTTGTTCTAGGAGACACTATGTTGGCTGGTGCACCTTTATTAGATGGTAAGTGAATCCTTATTAATTCTCATTAAAATTAGTTAACAATCAAATTCATACAAATTTAAAATTAATTCTAAACTTTACATGGAAGTAAAAAAATCTTTTCCGACTTTATAATCATCATCCGGAAGTTTGCGTCCACTCCTGAACAAAGGCCTCCCCCTAATTCTTCGACGTCGGACGACAATTTGCCACCTGCATCCCTATGCTTCCCGCGACTCTGACGATGTCGTCGATCCACCTAGCGGGAGGCCTGGCCACGCTTTATCGGTTCCTTAGTCGCCACTTTAGTAGTTTTCGGGCTCATCGGTCATCCCCTTTTCGAGCCTTCTTGCTTACTACATTTTTATTCTTCTCGTCTAAGGACCAACTGAATAGAAAAAATCATCTTGGATTCAAAAATGTTAACTGTAGAATATGACATGGCTTAGATGTTACACTGAGTTAAAACAAAGCAAATACTGAAAGTTTCAAGCAAATCGGTTCAGTACTTGCGGAGGTAAACGTGAACATACATACAGACAAAAATATCGAAAAAAAGTTTTTTGCATTCTAATAATCTTTAAGTGATCTATCTATTTTATTAAAAATACTAAATGTACAGACAAAACATTTTTACTGTTTTATTATATTATGTATACATAATGCAGTTGTTGGTTACCAGATAAACAATAATTTAAAAAAAAGTTAGATTGTCCATGGTATAAAAAGTCGTTAGTTTTTGAACAATAGAAGCAAAAAATAAAAATAAATACATTGCAATAGTTGGCATCACTCCACACATTTGTTGCTACAAAGTTCATGTCCAAGGTTCATACATGTTAAATTAGAATTGATAACAATGAGTTACGTAATCGTTTAGTAGGAAGACTAGCTTCCTATAACGTCTAGATACTAAGACTCCTAGTATATACAGAATTATGGATAATGTCCGCTATACGCTATACCGTCATGGTGGCCCGGTTAAGGAGCCCGCTTCTCATGCAGAGGGTGTGGGTTCGAAACCTGGCAAGTACCAATGTGACTTTTTCCGAGTTATATGTACTTTCTATGATTATTTAGACACCACTGACATACGGTGAAGGTAAATATCGTGAGGAAACCTGGACTTATAATTTCTAATTATAAGTTTGAAATCGCCAACCTGCATTGAGCAAGCGTGGTGATTAATGCTCTAACCTTCTCCGTATGAGAAGAGGCCTTTGCTCAGCAGTGGGCACTTATAGGCTGATGATGATACACATTTAGTCCATTTTAACACCAATGAGGTTACACAAAATCCCGATACGCCTTAAAGAAGAACCACTCGCGTCAAATTTGATTAAGTGCAATAATGTACGGCGTGGTTCTTAGTCAGTAAAAGTCTGACACTTTGTCAATCGACCCGGAGCGGGAGGACAGGATAATTTTCGGCTCTCAAAAAAAAAAAAATACCTGCAGATCACATTTGCAAAATTCTGGGTCTGAACATTAAACAAATTTTAGGAGTTAGGACTTTTTGAACGAAATCACCTATCCAGATCTTTTAGTTTTTTGTGGGTGTTCAGTCATCGAGTGAATCCTACCGCTCGAGAGGAAGCCTCAAACTCTTACTGACTATAAACCACCTCGTTCCAATTCTTGGTCCTAGGCGGCCCACAAATACGATATAATAGGTCTTTACCTATGAAATTGCCGTTCTGCAGTACTGGCCATTTCAAATCAAAATAGTTTTTGTTAGGCAAAATTAATTAGCCTTACTAATTAATTTTGCTTTAAAAACATTGTCACACATGTCATTTGTTTATTGATTAGTGTTACATTTTCATCGCATTTCAAATCAAAAAAATCGTTTAAATTTTTTCATGCAAAATGGCAAATTCATATGTAAAGACCTATTATTACTCTTGACCCTTCACCCTGACCGGGGTTTTAACATGTCTGCAACATCAAATATGTGTTACGTTAAAAAAAAACTATTCACAAAAAGAGGTCACGTATAAAACCTCCTTAGATAATAAGTACTGAAAGTACGACAAAGATCAGAAGTTGGAACATGGTAGTTGTACGATAATTTGGTAGTTCGTAGTCGGCAAGAGAACATTCACTTACGCCTCACCCAGGACGGGAGGAGTCATTGAATGATATTCCATTCAACCAGTACGCTTACAAAAAATAGGTATTAAAACAATAAAAATTATATAATATCTTTTGATTATTTAGACAGCATTATCTAAAGTAGATAACGTTATCTTGTTAGCTACCGTTGAATGCACTTTCGATAAAATTCTCCTCCTTACAAATATTGTAAGTTTGAAAGAAACTAGTAAAGACTTGTATTGTATTGATATTTAACATAAGTACATTTTATTCCTTCATAACAGGGCCATTATGATTGCTATTTTTTGGCTCTGACTTCACAGATTTTTTTTTTCATACCCAGTTATCAAATCTATTAAAAAAAGGTTTTGAGAAAGTTGATGGCCCTATAAGGGGGCATTGGTTGGCTTAACTGCAAGCATCTAAGCTTCTAGAAAAACAGCACTACCTAGTCTACTGCTTGGAATTGCAATAATCGTCTCTCGAATAGAAACTTCCTCACGGTTAATGATACGAACAACTTTATCACTGACTAGCTACTTTCGCGCGGTTTTGTATTTTTCGTTTATTTAATCGTAGCGTGAGGTTTTTAATAGCCTGTAGCACTCAGGAGCATCGTAGCTATCTATCAGTGACAGAATCTGACCAGCGGTTCCAAAGATTACCCCCTACATACAAACTAATAAACTTACAAATTTTACCTCTTTATAATATTAGTATAGATGAGCAAATGCTTCTTTTCAGACTGAGAGGGAATGAGCATTAATATCCACGCTTGCTCAATGCAGATTAGCGATTTCAAACTTATATTTAATTAAAAGTTTTTTTGTCTAGATTTCCTGTCACTTCCTTTTACCTCACTCTTAGAAATTACATAAAACTCGGAAAGAGTCTAAAACAAGTCCTTGATAGTTTTAATATATCTTTACTTTTCATGTGATAGGTCTGCAAACCAGCAGACGGATTGGTAAGCTATCAGCGTCGCCCATAGACACCCGCAACAACAGAGGAGTTACGAGTGTGTTGTAGACTTTTTGGGGATTAGGGATTTGGAGATTTAGGGATTGGGGAGAGATTGTCTCATAAGTTCTTTTTAAGCAGTTATAAATCCTTTTAATTACAGGTGCAGAAAGATTAATACGACATCTCCATGCAACCAAAGTTCCCTTCGCTTTAGCAACATCATCCAGCGCCCGATCTGTTGACACCAAAATAGCGCAATACAAAGAACTGTTCTCATACTTCCATCATATGGTGATGGGGAGCACGGATAAAGAAGTCAAGTTTGGGAAACCACATCCTGATATATTTCTGGTAGCTGCTGCCAGGTTCCCTGATAAACCTCATCCTTCTAAGGTTAGTCATGAGGAATAGTGTTTTTTATGTGAATGGGTGGCAAACTAGCAGACGGATTACCTGATGGTAAGCAATTGACGCCGCCCTTGGACACCCGCATTTACAGAGGAGTTACGAGTGCATTTTCGGTTTTTGGGGTTAAGATTTAGGTGACTGGTCCCAAGCATAATTGCATTGTAAAGAGCCTCCTGTTTAGTTCTCGGGTTAAGAATTAAAGTGTTATCTAGTGCCCACTGGGAGTTTTCTTCACTTTAATGCGATCACCGTATAGCCCTCTGACGGTTTACTGGGACCAGGTCATTCAGAACGAACGTCATCAACGTTTGGATCGATTAAAGCAAATTCGCACCATACTCTTCAAAAATTCTCACTAATAACTTTGTAAGGACCGAACCAGAAATGATTTACAACACCATTTTGAAGGATTCAGTTTAGCTTGACGTTTTGGTGTAGCTAATGTAGGAATCTACTATTCCGCAAAATCCTTTCATTCGATCTTTAACTTTACAGCAACAGAATTAACTCGAAAATTAAATGAAAAAGTATAATTATTAATTTTATAGTACTTTGTAACTTCTCTAAAGACGACGCTTGTACTTTCAGTAGCCTATAACATTCAGTATCTGATTTCGAACATTGAAACTTCTATTGAAGTTGGTAGTTTCATAACAGTAAATGTTTACGCTTCTAACGGCTATCGCCCACCAACACCGAAATATCCCACATCCTCAATCGAAGTACTTTTAGCACATTGCAACTAGCGTAGGCGATTCGTCTGGCTATAGTGCATGAATTTTTTTCTTCAGAAAAAATAAATTGTTGTTTTTTCTACGTTTTTTCTCGGCTTGGACAGTACAATTTTGCTCTGATATGATCTTGTTGCGCGTGAAATTGGTAGGTGGTTGTTTCACGCTCGGTTTTCTGTAAGGCCGTGGTATCACACCGGCCGTGCCGACCCATTTGTGCTGAAGCATGGCTATCCAACATCTTAATACTTAATGTACCTACTAAAAGCGTTTAATACTTAGGTTAACGAAGAGGCTCCTCATAAAGTTATAACCTTAAATCTCCAAAACCTTAATCCCCAAAAGGCCCCCAACGTTCTACGAATTGTTAGGATCACGTTGCAGACTGGAGCAAGAAGAGGAACGGGATGGTTCTTAGTCAATAATAGTCTGATACTTCCTCTCGGCTCATGTCATTCTATTGTTATGATAACAAAAGGGATAAAACTTTTATCCCTCCTCAAAAAACTATTATACCTACATAAATACCAAAATTGTTTGCAATGTATGGAAAATCCAATTTCATACAGAACAACCAAAGAAAATAATTTCTAATGCCACCAAATACCTAAATACTCAAATGCAAGTCTGCAATTTAAAAACGAAAATATTCCTTACCTCCAATACACTAAAGTCGAAGTTTTCAAATGAGACGTTTTGCCTGAATGTAGTTAGGTAGGTAGGTACCATTAATCTAATCTTAGCTAGTGTTAGCGTGTTATTGAGAAAAACGTGCGATGCGAATTAGAGACATAAATCACTCTATTGAGTTCAAGGAGATACTGCAATAGACTAAACTGGGTAAATTGGTGGTATCTTGCACTCTTATGTAGAACATAAGAGTTCTTAATTCAAACTTTGTTTTGAGAGCTAATTTCTTTTTTTTACTCTATTGAGCTCTGTTAAGACAAGATGGTGGCCTTTTTAGGCTAGCTTTGAATAGTGTTATAAATTCCCATTTATAATGTATGTATGTATAAGGAGCTTAGTGGTTGTTTGTACGAAAAATAAATCCTTCTATTCATTATCATTGTCAAAATTAAATGACCACCTTATCTCCATACTTCGTAGACAAACATCTTCCTGAGAATTTTAGGGTATGGTGCAGCCTGCTTGCTACGTCTTTCACCTCCCTATTTTTCATCAAAATCCGGAACAAGACAGGACTCATCCGAGATCTAAGCCAAAACAATACACGACTTTGATCGCTTTGACTTAAATCTATTACGAAATAATAAAAATTATATTATAAGTATAATAATAATAATTCTCTTTTACTTTTATTCCAGTGCCTAGTATTCGAAGACTCTCCTCACGGCGTCACAGCGGGCATGAAGGCAGGCATGCAAACTGTCATGGTGCCAGATCCACACTTAGATAAGAAGCTAACAACACACGCCACCATCGTCCTACCAAGTCTAGCCAAATTCCAGCCAGAACTATTCGGACTGCCACCATTCAAGAGTTAAAAAAATACAATAAAAATAATCAACCTGTGTAATGCCTGAGTTTTTGGCGTTTTGAACTTTGTTATTATATAATTTTAAGTTCAAATATGAGTGGCACCTACAGTAATATTTTTATTAGTATTTAACGATTTGATTCTTTATTTCTCTAACCTGTTGTATAAAAGTATACTTTTGTACACCTTCAAATAAAATACTGGCCCTTCTAACTTTTTTTAGTGTAAAAATTCTCAAAAAATTGGGCTAAAATAAAAATATTCTATTAGTTACAATAAATAGGTACTAGCAGTGCATGAACAAGCAATAGCTAACTTATTTCTTAAAGATATTGTAAAAAATATACATTTTTTGTATCCAATATTCATGACATTTTATTACAGGCACAAAACAGTGTACAGATGTAGCCATAAAAGATATTGAGCATACTTCAAAATGAATGGAAAACATAATATTTTTTAGATTTTAATTTAATAACGATAAATTATTTGAGAATGAAAGTACAAAAATCAAGTTAAAAATCTTATGATTAAATATTAAGTGATTTTGTTTGTCAATTAACGCCATTATTATATATCTAGTACTTAATTTGTTAGTGGGTATACATGTTGAGCCATAGAGTTTACGGGTACCTAGTAAACCATCCTATAATTTTATATCCCAGTAATATACACATTAGAATAATCACCCGACAATAATAAAGCCGTACAAATAGTTACACTAATATAGTATGTAGGAGAAAATTATAATTTATGTCTCTTTCGTAGTGATTTCTAAAAAAACTGCCCTGTCCTGTTCATAGAAAAACTTTTAAGTTTTACCGCCAATTTTTGAGGCGCCATTTTGGAATTTTCTGTGTGGGTAATAGTAATTATTAGATAAACAATCAGGGTGTAACACGTAGAAATCAAGTGCTAATATACAATATAGTAATATAATTACAAAGGTAATATTATAAGGCATAATCCTGTAGAATAGTGATTTTGCATATAACAGCCATATTATTTTTATTTTGTCTTATAGGAAACTGAAGCAGCCCTACAAGTAATACTTCCCAAAAAATTACCGTAATTATGTGTAGTTAGTAATTGATTAAATATTTGTTTATTATTTTTAGTATGTTTTCTGTCTATAGTGCAATCATTGTAACATAGATGTCATCTACATTTTTAATGTTAATTTACAAAGTCTGGTAGATGTAGATGATTTTTAATAATAAATTATTTGTTTAAGAATTTTCTGTTTCATTTTATTATTTCGTATAAAACCCAGACTGAATTTCGACAATAGGGTGTGGTACCCTATTGTCGAAATTCAGTACCCCAGACCCATGAAATGATTACAGAATGAGAAAGCAGCTAGGTATTTGGAAATATACGTAAATAAATATAAAATAGTGACTTCGACAAGATTTACACCCAGTTTCCGAAAGGCCGATCAATGTTAAAATCAATTTTAAGTCATTTGATTGGTTGTTGACAATAGTCATCCAATCTGATGACTTGAAAAGAGATTTAACAGGAGATTAGTTAATTTTAGCGTTGACAAGCCTTTCAGAAACCGAGTGATAGTTTCCCAATTCAAAGCAAAACCAAAATTTTGCCAGTCGGCACTTCCTTAGGTATGCAAGACAATTATCAAGAACACGTAAGAAAGATGTAAAGATTAGATGTGTGAGAAAGTCATGCTTCGGCACGAATGGGCCGGCCCAACCGGAGCGATACCACGACCACACAGAAAACCAGCGTGACGCAACCCATAGGTTGTTTCGCCATGTGACTGAGGTTACTGGAGGCCCAATCCCCATCTTTCTTCAATCACCTATCCTTAAATTACTTAAAACCCATACGAGGTTGGCAACATTCTAGTAACTCCTTTGGTATTACGGGTGTCCATGGGTGGCTCTGATTGCTTACCATCAGGCTAAAAAAAAAATGTAGCTGATAAAATTTATAAAGTGGGAAAAACAAATAACACTGCAGTTGCTATTGACTAATTATTTTTTATTAACATAAATAGAATATAACAACATAATTTACTTTGCTAGCTGTTTGACGGCTGAGAGGACATTGTCAGCATTCTGATCAGTGAGAGACATACTGCGTTCAACTCCTTTCTCTGAAAAGATATAAACATTTTTGAGATATCATTATCAAAATATTGAGTTATGGTACTACTGAATAACTTTAACAGTGAAAACAAAATCAAATAACTATAATGTCATTACTATAATATAAATGCAACAATGTTTACATGATCATCAAAAGTAAACAATTAATGAAAACTGGCAACTAACAACAATCTTCAGAGTTAAATAAGGGCTACTTATTCTAAATTCGATACTTAAGAATAGAGTCCAAGCAACTGAATTTAGAAAAAAAATACACTGCAAAAAGATAAATTAAGAAGTCTATAAATTACTTTAAGTACCTACTTATTTCTTAAATTAATATACTTTTTTAGAATTTTTAGACTACATGTTATTCAAGAGTAGGTATGTGTACCCATAATTATATGTTCTATCAACATTTAATAATACAGTATACTTTCTGCTATATTAAAAATCAACATGACATACAGGTAATAAAATAAATAAATTGCAAATAACTTCAACGGGCCAAGCCTCTGACCAAAGATAATATTTGGTCGGCATTCATATCATTTAGTGGTTGACATGTTTCACAACCTTTAACTGGAATAAATAAATTTTATTAAATCATTATTTCTAATATTCAATTTTACATACCTATTTATAAACTAGATTTTCCCTTGAGTGAATTTATCATTATAGGTTCCTAATTACATATTTGTGAACTTTCAACATGCTTACTTATTTCATTTATTATATATAATAATAATTAAGCTGGATTGGTAGATTTATTACAAATGAACAAATATTTAGTTGTTTGTGAATAATTAATAAGATTTATTGCTTGTAAAGAAATCTTAAGCAACAAAGCATGCAATATGCACTTTTGGAAGGATTTTCTGATAGGATGCTAAGCAGTAATCATAAGTTTTTATTTCATATTATCTTTCATCACCCATCACAAAGTGTTTTAAACTTAAGGATTTGTGGTCTTAGTATTCTAAGAGCATGGTGTACATATAGCAATGTGAGTGATGTGAAAAACAGACAGACGAATGAAGGTTTGTATTTGGAACTGTGACTTTTAGATACTGAAATATTAGGGCCCCAAAGACTTACCATATCGAGCCCAGATACGTGGCTGTACACCGCTGCATTCACGAATCAATATCGGAAATCCAGGATTATCCTTTTTAATGTTAACATAGTACTTTTGAATAAAGTTCCTGAAAAGAATATGACATTTTTCAATAACATATTTGAGGTTAAGATACTGTTTATGTAATCAAAGTTCTTACCTCACACCTTCCGAATGTTTGCTTGATTGGCATAAATGAATCCTTAGTTCCCTAAGGGCACTACCAAAGCGATACGACATTTTTTACGTAATTTTAAAAACGATTCACACAAAATCGAATCTTATAAAATGTCAGATTGACAATTTGTTATTTGACAACACAAATGTCATTATCATCAAATAAATTATTAATAGACTCCGTGAAATGAAACGTTCAGATCATGAAAAGATAAATACAGTTTAGAATAAAAGTTATTAAATATAATTTTATAAAAGAATGGAATCGAAAGTTACTCGTCGTCGACTAGCTCCAAGTTCATAGAGAAAAAAACATTACTGTACACAGCTTGTTTTTTGTATGACATTTTTTTCTGATTTAAGGGCCTCTAACTTGGTATACAGTACAGCCGACGTATCTTGGCGAGTCTGAAGTTAGCCGTTTGTCTGCGCAGTGGATCTTTTAGGAACAAAATTGCGCAGCTACTCTGCTAACTTCAGACTCGCCAAGATACAACGGCCGTATTGTACTTTAGCAGAGTAGTGTATTAAAAGAGCATTAAGTTTAGACGTAGGCGATAAAAGAAACGTTATTTAATTTTTTATTGCGTAATAAATACCTAACTTATGGTCTTACACACAGAGTATGTCTTACACACAGAGTATGCCTTACCACTTGGAGAATAAGTTTTTTATTTATTCAAAACTAACGCATTGCTAGTGTGATTTATGATAAAAATCTCAAAGAAAACACAATTTATTTATTTAACAATTTAATGTAATACTCAATACATCAATTTTATCTTTTGTACATTAAAAACTAAGTACCAAACACTTTTTAATATGATTTCAATTATTTTTTTATGTTACGCTAGAAGCAACAGCATTTTCCCTAGTCAGATTATTGAAATGAATGAATTATTTATTATCTATTAAACTGACAAAGTTATTATTAGGCACAAACCTTACAACATGTTATGTAGAATTGTTATTTTTTTTCTTAATTTATGGTGGAAGGTAGTTATGCATTTCAGGACATTGGAAGAAACATTATTACTGTGGATAAATTGAATTTGATTAACCTATACAATATAATTGAGTTTAGTGGATAGATTTTATTATGCATATAAAATTACTAACCAATTTTTATTGACATATACGATCAACATTTGATTGTATTCCAAAGATTTGACGAATTTGTATTCGGACCGTTTATTAGCTCAATCCCTTTATAATTGCACAACTACCCTTATAAAATACACCACATAAATTGTTAAAATATAAAAATTTGTTCGATTATAACTGACCATCTAGTGCACAATCTAAGTGTAAAAATATCAGAATGAAATAGCAATAGTAGTAAAATTATTGCCATCTCATTTTTCACAAAGAAGTCGAGCTAAAAAAACAATCGGCTCGTATATTAAAACAAGGTTTAATGTGATATTTGTAAGTAGAGCATTACAGTTAAAAGTCCTGAAATTCAATAATCACAGATCACGCTCATAGTGTAGTGTTGAAAAAGTTTCTACACATCAACTTGAACCTTATAGTGTGAACATTAAGGTTAAAATCGTTAAGTCTAGAAGACAAAGGGACATAGGTGTGGCCCGTAACCAAATGCAGTTCGCTAATAGTTGCCATTTTTGCTTACACCAGATGGCGCTTCTGGCGAATAAGATCGCATTGGCTAAAATACTATTTTAAGATTAGCTTATTCGAATGAATATAAAAGGTTTTGAACTACCTTGTACCCCAATCGATCCTATTACATGATAATAAGATCAGATTTTGAAGTCACAACCTAAGACTGGCTTTTGGATCAGAGTATTTACAAATTTTAAGGTCACGCGAAAATAGACTTTACTGTGACACAATTTAATGTTCAGTTTTGTTTTTCATCCGTAGATCACTCTATATAAATAATCAAAATTTTGGATAAAGAAAAGTAAAATTGTAGTCTCAATAAAAGAAATTACGCCACTAGTGCCATGAACGCACAACTGCATTTAGTTTGACCATTTCCAAATATAATTGGTAAACTCTCTACGATGTTAATAAGACCGTATTGTCGATTCTAGAATATACGTCCTCCTTTTCAAGTAGGTAGGTATATAGGTACAATATTAGATGATAAATATTATGTACTCAAACCTCCTTTGTCTTATCATTTTAATGGCTCTTCAGTGGTTGCGTTTTCCAACAACGACAAAATATTAGTCGCTTACAAATATGGTGTAACACCATTGTCAGTTACTTCTATTCACTTCTTTTACATGTATTTATGTCAAATTACTTAGTAAATTGTCAATTCCTTTGAGGTATTCCTAAGAGGATACTCCTGTGTGATGTGCACAACTCTATATTATATTTAAAAGTGAACTAGATTTTAATTACCTTCTATGTGACTTGGAATCTATCTTTCATCTCTATACAATGCATAAACATTCTTCCAATGAATTACGATTTAATTGTTACTTCAAGATTAACATACAACATTCCAGAATTGAAACAGTGACAGAAAATTGAACCTTATTGCACATTTATTCGTGTCAAAATTGCACTCAACCCGAAACTAATTAAATAAACAAAATCACTTTAGGCATATAACACAACGTGACAATTCCAACATCAAATAAATGAGCAAATATATGAGTTAATTTTATTATTATAATTATTGAAATCAATATATCAGCATTACAATCTTGTCGAAATTGGGAAGCTAAAAAAACTAAAACAGAAAAATCTAAGCTTGTTATAATTAAAAAAAAATGTAATATCATTAATGTGTATATACATATTTACATCTTAAATTTTAAACGGCATACTATTCTATAACGTAAGAAAACCAAGTTGAGAAATTCAGAGATAATTTTTGAAAAATTCTTATTATAAATAACTTTCAATTATTGAACAAAAAAACTCCTATTCATTTAATTTGTTAAGACAGGTCAACAAGAATTTACCTAACGGACGAATAGTACGAGAGCTATATACAGTTGAGTGAAGAATAACTTACACATGGAAATTTCAATTGGCAAGAAACATTCTACATTTTACAGCACTGAGTAAACACTCTCGATCATAACCATTACTATAAACTATTGAAACTCGAACACCTTGTCCGAATGAACCTCGCCGACTAGAGTTCCAGATTCACGGTGCCAAATGAAATTCCCAGCAGCGTCCACTCTTGTCACGTCACGATTTAGTCAGCTACACAACTCGAAAACTATTAGGATAGCGAGCCACTCGACTGTACACAGCTCGAGACCGTAGAGCACGAAGCGGGAGAGCAGCAGCGCGGCATATGCGCAGCAGGCGGCCATCTTGGATCGGGCCAAGGGGGCCTCGTCAACGAGCTCGCGTGCCGTCTCTCGCCTGTGCGAGCTCAGCTAGCCAGACGCCGGCTCCGTTTTAACCGCGTCCGCGGTCAGACCCTGCTTCTGGCACCACTCCACGAAGTCATCAATGAGCACCGGCCACGCGCCCTCCGCGTCATAGTTGCTCATGCCATCGTCGATCTGTGTCGCGAAGTCTAGCAGTAGATTCCATGTGTCTTTTGGTATGGATCTTTTATGGTGCTCCTGTGAATTTTTACATGTATATAATGTCAATTAATTGTGATACATACAAAACAAAACTGTTGTTGTTTTGTAAAGTATCTGGTTCTACCTCTACTCTCATTTTAAATATAATAGTTTTAAGTAGGTACAATGCGGCCGACATATCTTGGCGAGCCTGAAGTTAGCTGATTAGCTGCGCAGTACACAATTCTGTTCCTAAAAGATCCATTGCGCAGACAAACGGCAAACTTCAGACTCGCCAAGATACGTCGGCCGCACTATAGCATAATACAACTAAGTGAACCTTTATTTAGCTGTTCAATGAATGAATATTTAAATTGTAATGTTTATAAAATGAGGCCTGGAATGTTTGTAAAGTGTGTGAACTAAACTGACCCCAATGTTAGATAGTCTAGAACTGATGCCAAAAATATCAAGTACTGATATCTAGAAAAAAGATTTGCATTATTTATTAATAGCAAAAAGTAATCAGGCCACTGTTCTAATAAAATTGAGTCAATTATAAACTATAATAAATTAGGTGATCTGCAAAATTAAATATGAAATTGGTGTGTAAGGCACTTTTGCAGAAATCTGGTAATAATTGTACAAAGTTTTTGTGTTCATCAGATAGTGCAAAAGCAGAATGAGGAATTCTCTTGTTGTTTGACAATACAGATGCCAACTTGGCACATAAGTAATGGTTTCAAAATAGAAGTTTTATTTCCCAGTTAATTAATTACTGTAGAAGATTCATATAAGAATCTCACTGAGTAGTATTTTGTTAAAAGGACAATCTTATCTCATCTTATCTAAGGGCTTGTTTAACTACATACAAATAATATGATATATGGCAAATAGTTCACACTTATAACATTCTATACCTATTCAAAATTATCTAGTCCATAGTAGCTATCCAGACATTATGAAACATGCCCTCAATATGAAAATATGGTAAAATGATCCATATATACATACCGTGAGAAATTTACACCAAGCATCTAGGAACTTAAATCTCCCACGGAGCACAATATTCCAATAGGCTATCGCCATGTCCAGTTCTAGACCTTTCTGTCCCGGATTCTTTGCATAATTGAATGTAAAATGATAAAAGTCTTTGAATTTGTTTTGATCCTTTATTTCTGTCTCCAGTGTTGGTAGTTTCCCTTTTAATTTGTCTATGCTATCCACTCCAAGCTCTATGAGACCAGTCGTGAACTCATCCTTCGTAAACTCACACTGCACTGCTGCTTTACACTTCCATGCTATTATAAGAACTAAAATTGACTCAGGACTTAAATTAAGATCTTCTAAAAACTTCATAACACCATCAACAGTGATCTTGTCGTTCTCCTGCTGGTCTTTGTACTTTGTAAACAGTTGGTCGAGCTTTTTTCTGTCCACAGACGCCTTGACGGGGTCCTTGTAGTAAGCCTCTGGATTCTGAAAGTAGTTGTCGCTCGCCAGGTCCAGTTTCCAGTCATTTTGAGACAAACAGTATATCGCCGTGCTCTCACTTGTCTGCGTAAAAGCGACGAACTTTTTAACTTTGTCTCTCTGTGACGATTTTAATTTATTCTGTAAGAGAATCGTACGAACGTCATATTTATAACCTTATTAGTGCTTACCTGTCATTAATTTTACGTATTAGAAATTATTCTTGGATTTAATACAGTTTTGTTGTTGTTGGGTTTAATGAATATTTTAACACGATTACTCACCATTTTCGTGAATTTTTTATTGTTTCTAATGACTTTCACTGTTATTTCGACATCGGAACCAAAGTGAAATAACAATCATAGACAACTTTCTAATGTTGTTGTACAACAAATTAAAATTCCCACTTTTTATATTTTTCAAAAAGCACGGATCAAATTGATTGACTTTTTTAACATAGACAATTAATTACTAATTAGAATTATAAGACTAATAAGAACTTTATTGGAAACATGTTTGCACAATGTTCAAGTAAATTTATTAAAATCTTTTTTTTATACAATCTTACTCGTAACTCGTACGTATACAACGTTGAAAAAAGAAAGATTAATTAATTGGAATCCCTTCAAATCGAGGAGATAGTAAAATTAAATAATAGCAACATCGAATCGTAACATAATCATAGACTATAGAATTTTCGTCCTGAAATTACTTCAAAAAGGAATTTTATTTATGATAGTATCAATAAAATAATATGTTGCTAAAATAATTTTATTTATAACTTAAACATGAAGCAATAAAATATTTATTTTAAGGCTAAAGAAATGCATTGCGTCTGAACTTGGTTTCCAAACGAAATCGTCAATAAATGAAAACAGCTGATCGCAAAACATAACCTAACAGTTTGTACTATAATCTTATTGTAATTGAAGTAAACATAATAATAGTATGTAAATAAACTATTAGAAATGTGTTCTATATTAGCAAAGCGTTTTATTTTCACACCTAATCGTAATTTATTTAAGTGCATAAGTACTAAAAGTCCAAGAGTTCGTTTTGCGCCAAGTCCAACGGGTTATTTACATTTAGGAGGATTACGAACTGCTTTATATAATTATTTGTTTGCTAAATCTCGCAGTGGTACCTTCGTATTGCGTATAGAAGATACGGATCAGACGAGAAAAGTAGAAGGTTCGGTTGAAGCATTGGTGAACGATTTGCAATGGGCGGGTATTGAATGTAACGAAGGACCAGGAATAAATGGGCAATATGGTCCTTATGTACAGAGTGAAAGGCTCAATATTTATCAGTAAGTGTTGTGTCATCCTACTTTTTGTTTTTTATAAAAGCCAATGAGTTTGACAATCACCTCAAGGGAATTAGGCGTAAGGCGGTTGGGTCAAGTGCTTGAACAGCAGCATATTGTAAGGAGGTTTCTGTCTCTGGTGCCATAACCACTGGTAGCTTGGACCATATAACCGCTGAATGAGATTGGCTCCTATTATTGTATTTCTAATTATATTTTACTATGACTTTATATGAGGAATTTTATAAAAGAAACATGTCACAATAGCCTTTGTTTAGCAGTGGAGTTCTTGTTGATTATGTTCAATAAAATATATTGTTTCTATTGTTTTCAGGGACCACATACAAAAACTACTTGACAATGGTTCAGCTTACAAATGTTTCTGTACGGAGCGCAGACTGAACATTTTACGCAGAGACGCAGTGAAGTCACAGCGGATACCTAAATATGATAACAGATGTAGGAGTCTGTCGCCCGAGGAAATCAAGCAGAAGATGGATGCTGGTGTTCCATATTGTATTCGATTTAAGGTATTTTATAGATAAACTGGCTATATATACCTATAATATCATCAGGTTTTGTGCACACATATATAACCTGATGGAAAGCAATTCAAAGGCACATCTTATTTTATAAATTTTGTGCAATCCGTATCCATGGCTACAACACACAAAAGAACATCTAAATAGAATAATGGTCCGTCTGTCTGTTCAGCAGTGAAGCTAGGAGCTTGTTCCGAAGTGTAGATTCAAATGGAGAAGAACGAAAGAAAGGCCCCTAAAACTAAAATAAAAATCTCTGCTTTCCAACCACACGCCATGTAACAAACTAACTCGCACGGTTTCACCTGCTGCTGAGCTCCTACAGATTGTAGGGTTATTTTTTATAAACCTAGTGTTAGTCCATTTACTAATACAAAAAGATTCTGGAGATTATTGCTTTCAAACAAACTCTACAGCTTTAAAATATTAGTACTGATTTATCATTGGCCTTTTTCTTCCCAGCTAACATCAGACTGCCAATACTTCGAAGACTTAATCTTCGGCAGTATCGCCTACGACGTGTCCTTGAACGAAGGAGATCCAGTGTTAATGAAGAGTGATGGTTTCCCAACCTATCACTTCGCGAATGTGGTCGATGACCATTTGATGGCCATTACCCATGTGTTACGAGGTGTTGAATGGCAGATCTCTACTACCAAGCATTTGCTTATTTATAGGTAAGAGTCTTACCTCATTCGTCCTAATAATCTTAGCATTGGCTTTCTGCAAAGCAGTCACTCTCGAAAAGAGAGTCGGAGCAGAAACAAATCCTAGCGAACGGTTCGCGTTCCACGTGCACCTCGAAACGCAATTGCAACACCTCAACAAGATAGGGTCCAATAGGGCAGATGTTGCCTATATTACTCTTAGCAAGAGGTAGAACGGGATGGGCTTTAGTCGCTAAGAGTCCGACACACCCAATAGGAAGGCAAAAAAGCCTCATCCAGGTCCTTCGAGGGTTTAGGGGTACATATAAATATATCCATACGTTCATACATCCATATAAAACGAGTTAAATGTAGTAAAGAAATCCCATATAAATAGACTGTAAATATAGGTAGAATTATCGAAAACCCCTAATTTTATATTTCCATCTGTCTTGGCCATCGAACTAATATTTTTTTTTAACAATTTCAACTTATTAGGTACTTAATCATTAAAATTGAGACTAGTTTGACGTCTGACGTAACAGGATATTATTTTACCATTAACAGGGCGTTTGGATGGAAACCACCACACTTTGGTCACATGCCGCTGATCGTGAATGCGGATGGCACTAAGCTTAGCAAGAGACAGAGCGACGTCAAAGTTGAAGATTATAGGACCAACGGTATGATGAATTTTTCAATAACAAAAACAGATAGATCTATGTACAATTTTTTATCAAAACCCATTCAGTAGTTTTTGTGTGAAAGATTAACAAACATCGTCCATGCATTCTTGCAAATTATTGGGTTTATTAATATTAGGATTGTCAATAATTTTTCAGGAATATTCCCGTTGGCGCTGGTGAACTACATAACGTTGTCTGGCGGAGGGTTTGAGCATGTGTCTGGCGCGGGCGTCAGACTCAAGACTATGGACGAGTTGGCTGGAGAGGTATCTAAAAATGACCTATTTTGCACTAATTACTGTCAAGAATCTATAACTATGCTTTCAGATATGGAATATGTAGCATATGCTATTTTTTTATGTACTATGCTATTTATTCTGCATACGAGCGGGCGGATTCCCTGGTGGTACGCAATCGTCGCTGCCAATGGACTGGTTTTGCGGGTAATACCAGAGGAGTTACGAATGCGTTACCGGCCTTTTGGGGATTAGGGTTTGGGAAATTTTGCGATTCGGGAAGAGGAAGGATTAGGCCTCCGGTAACCTCACTTACATGGCGAAACACAACGCTGTGTTTTTTTCACGCCGGCTTTCTTTGTCTTCGGTGGCCGTGGTATCACTCTGGTCCGGCCTGCTCATTCGTACAGTATCATAGCTCTTCAACATTTAATTTAATAATATAAAGCGGAGCGCCTAGTGCTAGTTTACTCTCCACTCAGAGCTAGACGAAGTAACATTCGATCGCATTAGCTTAGAAATAATTCGCACTAGGTACGCTTATTGACCTGTTCCAAGTTAACAAACCAATCGGTAGATGTATTTGTAATAAACTATTTCCATATATAGTTCCAGATAGAGAAAATATCATCACATCCAAGTCGACTGAACCCCGACCTATTAGAAGAATGCAATCGCTTAGAAATCAAACGGAGACTAAAAAACGAAGATCAAGCAAAAAGCCTAGTATCCAAACTACAAGAATTAATAACAAAAACGTATCCGGAACACAATTTGAATTTGACAGAAGAACATGTCAAAACCGTTTTAAAATGGTCGGCGTCTCGGATTTCAAAAATAGAAGAGTTGACTTCGAAAAAGTACGGATTTCTATGGATATTACCTAAAAATACAGCAAAGGTTGACCAGGAATTGTTAAGGAAATTAGTGGAAAATTTGGAACGGTTGGAGAAATTCGACCAGGGTACTTTGAAGGAGAGTTTAAGGAGTTTCTCAGCGAAGAATGATGTGAAGTTCCCGGCTTTGATGAAGATGCTTCGGTCGGTTATAAGTGGGTTGGATGAGGGTCCAGGGGTGGCGGAGATGATGGATTTGTTGGGCAAGAGTCAGTCGTTAGAAAGAATTAAAGCTGTAGTACGATACGCTGTTGTTTTATTTTACTGAAGTTTTTCTTAATTTTCTCTATACTGACTTCGAGAGCGCAAGCAATTAAGATCGTGCTGTAGGTTAGTTTCCTTAGCTGAAATTAATTAATTTGGACGTTTCAGTTCAATAAAGTATTAAAAAAATAATTATACGAGTTCATCATCTATCTTTGATCATAACTATCAATATAATAACTATTACTGAGAATTGGAATGCTGCTCAAATCCGCGATCTTAATAAGAAATTAATATTAATATATGACACGTCACACGGTAGTTTATAAGAATACTTAGGTTTAGCATGCATTTATACTATTAGGTTTAGCATGCCTTTTTTAACCTTGTCGCAAAACGCAAAAAATATCAAAATTATTGCATTATCTTTATATGTATATAAAAACTAGTGACACCGTGAGAGTCTGTAGGCATTGCGCAAAAATATATCAAGCACCAAAACACATTCGACTCTAAGGACCAAAAAATCCACAACCTAACTTGAAGCACTCATAAAAATCCAATGAATTTAGTGCAAAGCTTGGCTTACTTTATAGTCCATTATGAGAGTAAATCCAGCAATAAAATGTTCTTCTTTCTCCTTCATGAGAGTATACTTACTATAACGCTATGATTTACAGAAGGCAGTAAAATGTGGTTATTAGAGCATTGAATAATGACTTTCATTTTTATGCGGACAATAGTCTTTGTAGCTCAGTGTTTCTATGTTATTGTTTTACTAAGTATTAATCGTGACCCGAATATGAGTACTTATATAAATTGATCTCTATGATCTTTTCTTATGGAACAGAAAGATAACGGGTAGACGGATCCCTCTGATGGTCACCAGTAGCCACCCACGGATACACCATATACTATAGAGTGTCTTTTGCGGACTTTAAAGACGGAGAACGGATTTTTTAAAGGTTTGGTGGTTTCGGTTGGGTAATATCGCAGATGACGGTTCATGCCAACTTTTTCCTTTGCGAGAGAAACATTTCCCAATACCTAACTAGTTTTCTACCAACCTTCGTAAGAAATGTAGATTTGGGATTTGATCACTCACATGGCAAAAGTTGTTTCACGCCGATATTAGGCACGACTATTAGGCCGTAGTAACACTTTGGCTGGGCCGGTTTATCTGCCATTTTAAGTAATATTAACGTGATAGAGTACCTACGTTGCTGTCATTTTAGAAGTTTTGAGATTTAAGGATTTTGGAAGAGCAGGAAAAGGGCTAGGCTACTACGTGTTTTCGAGTACGGTAGGTATAGTCGACAAACCTCAAAAAATTTGCAACCGAACACTACATATTTGGTAGTAGAATATGTCTACTAACTTCGATAGAAGACTCGCCACTACAATATTACGGTCGGTAGGTACTTACTCCAATTTTTTCCTACGCTTAAAGTTAGTTTAGGAGGTAAGTACTTGAATTTTGATAGCGTGGCGAGAGTTATGGCAGTTTTTATTGTTACTAGTCACTGCTCACTGTTTTATTTCTCTATAAAGATTGTAAAAACTTTTATGAGGATCTTCAAGATTTACAAGCTTGAGAACTATCCCTGACTGAGGCCAGGGTTCCGGGTGTACGCGCAATAATAGATATACCATGGCCTCGACCCAGAGCTAGAGAAGGAGCGAGGTGATTTTTAGTCAGTAATGCTGGGGCCACACTGACGGGAAATGCGAATAATTATCGCGATAATTGATTTTATTAAACAATGAAATATACCTTAAATCATTTGTTAAGAGATCAAATACACCTACGATTAACGTCCATTATCGCGATAATCAATGGTATTTCCCGTTAGTGTGGTCCAAGCATAAGAGTTGGTCCATTTCACCTCACCAAGGGTGGTAGAAGATTTGTTTATATTTAAATATAACGTTGTTTCTCCTGTGTCGCAGGTGCGTTTACAAACATAAAATTTCACATAAACATCACATCCAGACGCGAAACAACAATTTGTGGATCACACGAAGAGTTCTTTGGTGTGGGACCGGCCGCGACAAGTTACGCAGCAGCCAGTTGCCTGGCTACCGCGCCTACCCCCCCCTAAAAACAAAATGTACTTTACTAATGCGATTTTTATGTTCTTTTATTGCAACACAAATACCTTACATACGCATGAATTCAAAAGAAAAATATTTCAAAAGAGGTCAGCTAGTAGCTTTTGTTTAGGTACATACTTATGTTTATCAGTCCTACCTAAATATACCTAAAGAAATTGATGGCGTGTTATTTCGAAAAATATTTAGGTATAATTAGTAGGTTTTCTAGTATCTATCCAATTAATACCTAGATTATTTTAATGAGTTTAACAATGTGCGTTTACGCACTAATTCAGCCAATTATTTCAATTAAAACGTTAACACAATGATTTAAAATTTTATCTATTAAACGCTATCAGAATAATAAAATTAATTAATCACGTAGGCAGCTGTAGGTACATTCACTATCAAAACTAAGTAAAGTAAAGATGAAGAGTTTGTTTGTTTGAATGCGCTAATCTCCGGAACTACTGGTTCGAATTGAACAATTCTTCTTGTGTTTGTTAGAACATTTATCGAGGAAGGCTATCCATAGGTAAAGGCTAATATTATAAATGCGAAAGTCAAAACTGTCTGTCTGTCTGTCTTTTCTTCACGCCTAAACTACTGAACCGATTTCTGTGAGATTTGGTACAGACATAGTTTGGAACTCGAGAAAAGACATAGAATAGTTTTTATACCAAATAGGCTCAAAAAGTTGGTAACTACGTTTACAACCTCGTCGCAAAACTCAAACTACATAACAGGTATATTTTTTTATGTGATAGAACGTCAAACGAGGCAGACTTGATACCTGATTATAAGCATTTAGCGCCGCCCATGGACAACCGCAACATTACAGGAGTTACGAATGCGTTGCCGGCCTTTTGGGTTTTAGGAGATTTAGAGATTGGGGAGGGAGGGGCAGAAGGATTAGACCTCTAGTAACCTTACTCACATGGCGAAACACAACGCTGTGGTTGTTTCACACCGGTTTTGTTAGAAGCCATGGTAGGTATGACTCCGGTCGTGCTGAACCATTCGTGCTGAAGCATGGCTCTCCTACACTTGGTACTGTTATTTGGTGTTCATAATCAACTCACATAAAAGTACCTTCTTCTCTATGGTTAGCTATAACATTTTCGATACATAAGCAGTCTTTAGGAAAGGGTGGTCCATATTCCACCTTGATACGTTACCAACCTGACATTTATTAGTATTTCACAATTTACAGTTTCACTGCATATCTACAAAAATTAAAATAAAGTCATTTCCCACAACCTGCCCTATATGTAAGCCTTTGCCTGCCCTTATGTTTAGATCTTTAAAACAACGTGACAGATTTCGATGCTGTTTTTTATAAGAGGAGGGTTTAAGTGTATAATTTATTAAGGTTTACGATCAGGTTAGTACGCAATATAATAAAACCAAAAAAATATGAGTAACAGTATAATTTATTGAATTCCCAAATATAAATATTGAGAGAAAATATCGAGGTCGATTCTGAGTTACAAACTTTATAAACGGGTGTGGAACACACCGTTAAAACTTTCGTCAGACACATTTCAATACAATAGAACACTTTGTAGGTTGCACATCAAAAATATAAAGAAATTAGTAGGTATGTAAGCAGTACCTACAGTCTAAACATTTATATTAGGTATGCAGGTCTATGAAAATATTATTTAACTTGGTACACAGACAGTGACCGTTGCGGGGTGACTCCGATGTCTTTTTCCGCCCAGGGCATGAGAGAGTGTAAAACTCTCACTGACTAATCCCCCCCCCCCGTTCTTAGGCTCATGGCCTAGAGCAGGAGATTATTCCACTTGCTCCGCAACTCCGGCTAAACATCAACCCTATAGGCCCTCGTCTGTGGTATAGTTATTAAGGGTTAGTTCACGTTTAATGGAAAACGCGTCGGGCATCATCGGTTGCGTAACTTCAGAATAATGAATTTTTAACTTTCCAAAACCAGTCGATAATGCGTTAGTAGGTACTCATAAGCATGTGAACAGCCCCTTAATAATACTTGCTTTGGCTTTGTTTAAAATCATATAATTTTGTGACAATAGTTGCCCACTCAGTACCGAGTCAACCATTTCTTAAAAAATCATGAATGTTATCACGATATTAATTTGATAGGTATAAAGAATGACTGAAGCCATTGGAATAATGACATGGTACATTGAACCCCAAGTACACACATCATGTTTATTTGGCAATGCTGAAACGTCAATTCACATCTGCCTAATCCTTTCTGCTTTATAGTTGTTGACTGTACCGTTTTAACTGTCTCAATTTATTAAACACATTTTACTGTCATTATTACATATTACCAGCACCATTCAAAATGGCCGCGGAACAAAGGACCAAAAAGGTATGAATAGAAAAGATGTGCAACCTATCACATCAAAAATTAATTTTCACCAACGTCAATGTTGAATCAACAAATTAACTTAAAATATATTGAGCAAAATTTTATAAGTAAACTAAAATAACTAGACTAAAATAAATAAGCAAAAACACGAAAAAATGCAAAACATGTTATTGCAGATCAAATAAGGTTATAAGTTAGAATGTCAGACAATATGAAACCGCTGTACAATGCGCGTGTCTCTTAAAAAGTTGTTATGTTGGGGCGTAAGTAGCCATCCTACATCAGTACATAGTAATCATTCAAGTTAGGCACAAACTGTAGTAGATAATAATTTTATTAACAAAGCAAACGTTTATGGGCCGCCATTACTTGGCAAAAACCGTTTCCACTATTCAACTAGAATATCTTTAGTGGAAAACTATGTCCACCATTATTTTATTGCTTTTCCTATTTTGAAATCTGCAACAACATTAAATTCAAACATAAATCAGTATTAAAACCTCACAACAAAATGAAACAAACGCACTTACTTTTATAAATACTTACATAAATTTGGTCTTCTTTACCTAATTGATGCCGTTCGTATACATTCCATATTATGCAAATAATAT